TTTCTTCTTTTGATTCCGCCATGAGAACTATGTCATCTGCGAAGAGCAATGGACTTAGGGATTCTTTCTTGAATAGGTTCAGTTAGAGCATCCAAATAATATTAAACAAGTACAAACTCAAAGAAGATTCCTGATATAGGCCAATCTTAATAGGAAAGTTCTTTGTTTCACCTTCAGGCGTCCTTACACTGGTAGTTACCACCCCCTCATACATATCTTGTATGGTTTTGATAAAGCAACCTGTAACCTTTCTTTTTCAAAGCCTTCCATATTACTTCTCTTGACAGACTATCATAAGCCTTTTTCAGATCATAAAAACCATATGTAAATCCCTTCTTTTACTCTTATATCTTCCATTCCCCCTTAGTAAATAATTGCTTCTGATGTGGATCTCCTTGGCATAAATCCAAATTGGTTTTCTGAAATAAAAGTCTCCAGTCTCAATCTATATTCCATCACTTTTCCTATAACTTCATTGTATGACTCATAAGTTTATTCCTCAGAAGCTTGCACAATTTTAAATGTCTTCTTTATTCTTGTAAATAGGAACTAAAATGCTTCTCCTCCAATCATCCGGCATATTTTTATAGTGTAAAATTTCATTAAAAAGCTTGATTAGCCACACCTCACCCTCATTGCCCAAAATATTTCCAAACTTCAATAGGAATACTATCAGGCCTAACGGCTTTACCATTGTCCATTTTCTTGAGAGCTGCTTAATCTCTCTGATACGGATCCTGCGGTAAAAAGCCAAATTCTGATCATCTTCGTTAATTAGCAAGTCCTGTAAGTCCTTAATCACATAATTGCTTCCCTCATTAAACAACTTGTAAAAGTAAGCCTCTCATCTGTCTTTAATATCACCATCAGTAACTAGCACTTTACCATCTTCATCCTTTATACACTTGGTCTAGATCTCGTTTTTTCCCCTCCCTTTGCTTCGTAATCTTGTAAATATTTCTTTCTCCCTGTCTTTATTCCCAACTCTTGATAAAACCCCCTCATAAGCTTTAGTACGTGCTTCATTCACTGCTCTCTCTTCTCTATATCTGTTTTAGCCAACTGATACTTTTCTCGTTTTCTATCTATTGTACAATGTATGGCCTTAAAACATCTCTTTTCTGTTTGACTTTCTCTTACACACTCTTATCTCTCTGACTAGGAGCTTTAGATTCTCCCAAAATTGCTTTAGCTACGAAACGAACCCTTGTAGTTATCTCTTCCCACATCATGTTTGCATTTCCCTGTGACTCCCAATTCCCTTCCTCCAAAAGGATCCTTTTGAATAACTCCTGCTTCTCACCCTTTAACTGCCACCACTTAACCCTGGTTTTACCACTTGATGGTACTTTTGTCTGGTATTCTTAAAACGTACATCAAGAATAAGTACTCTATGTTGGGCAATCACCCCATCTCCCCCGGAATCACTTTGCAATTAGTATACAGTCGCTGTCCAGATTCTTACCAACCAAAAAAATCAATCTGTGATTTTGAGGCACCATTCTTGTATGTGATTAAACGCTCCTCTCGCTTCTTAGAACAAGTGTTTGACAATCTTGAGATTGTATACAAGAGAAAAGTCGAGAATAGATTGTCCTCCACTATTAAGCTCCCAAACCAAAACCACCATAGGCCCTGCTGAATTGTTCTGCTTCCTTACCGACATGTCCTAAGATTCCACCGATAAAATTTTTTCTTCGAGTGGTATGCTTTGAACCAACCCCTCCATATCTTTCTAAAACTTATCTTTAAGGTGTGTCTCTGCCCCAAACTGAGGTGTATAGGCACTAATGATATTGATAGTATTCTTTCCAATAATTACTCTTAAAATATTATTCTATCATCAAACCTTTTAACTTCTACCACATTTTTTTTTCATGTTCCATCAACGATGATACCAACCCCATTCCTTACACTCACCTTCCCTGTGTACTAAGGTTTATACTCTCCAAGTTCCTTGGCAACTTCTCTAGTCCATTTGGTTTCTTGGAGGCACAAGATATTAATCCTTCTGTTCCTCATAACTCCTACTACTTCCATAGATTTCTCATTCAGCATCCAATATTCCAAGCGCCAAATCTAATCTTGGTTTCATGAACTAACTTCTTTAACTCGAGCCATACAGCGCGTCACTTCTAAGCAAGAACTTAGTACAGAGCATTGGCATAATTACTTTGTTGATCCATGTTCATCAGATTTGACAGGTTTTTATATTGGCTGTCGAGGGCCTAACACAACCCTCCTCCTTTATCCGGGCTTGGGACCGGCTATACAATACAGGCGGAGTTAATATAGGCCAATATCAATCTAAGAAAATAAAGGGCATTAATAAACGTTTCTTACACCATACTAGAGACAAAACAGATTATGAACTTTAATCTATAATTATGCTCACTGGCTTTATGGCTCTACACATGTGACTGTTGAAATAAAAATAAAAACATTTTCATTTTATATTTTATCTTTTTTGGAGGATTTGATTGTGCCAATTTAATCGTTCAAAACAAATTACCTGAGCTGAGAGAGAACGAGTCAGTGCTCCCCCTATCTCTTGATGATTGCATCTTGCTTCATTTGTATCTTTGCTTTAACTTCATCCACAGCTCCTAGAACGTCACACGGGTACATATTCCTTCCTGGAAATTGCAGGTACAGAATTTTACATGTCAACATCATCTTAGTATCTGCTAAACTGCAAAGGAGCTTGAAAAGATGATACCTCAGCTTGCTTAACAGGATCAGTAGCTTGTTTGTGATAGTCATCTAATAACTTCTGAACAGCCTTCCCTACCGAGGCATCCTCAAATGTTGGAAAACATTAGTGAATCTATTTGATAGGATTTGTCAGATATTGGAACAAATATGGTGATAATTAGTTTCCAATTTATAAGTGATTAATGCATTTGGCTGTGGGGAAAAAGGGAAACACGAAATTAGTGCAAAAGATGCAAGCACGTGAAAAACATATGCTTGATAAGCATACCAAACCTAGATTGAGATCTTATGCAATAATAAAGTAAAAGAAGCAAAATGTGTCTATGCCACTATTTATTGTATCCACTTTTATTTTCTGTTGTCCATTTAAGTATTTACTCTCAACATGCAGATCAACATTCCTTGGAACCCTCTCTTAAAAACATTGAGAAAGAGGGTAATAAGTGTTGTTGTTATAACCCTCCACCAACAAGAGCATTTTAGGAAGCTGCAAATATGATTAGGTCTAGCAACACTCAACATGAAAGAATTTCACATGTATACCAGTCTGATCATTTAAAATAAATTACCTAAGCTGACAGAATAAGCCATTGTTACATGTACACCATCCTTCCTGGAAATTGCAGGTACAGAATTTTGCATGTACACCTGTCTAATCTCTCAAAATAAATTAGCTGATAAGCCATTGACCTCTCCCTCTTGATGCTTCATTTGTATCTGTGTTTAACGTCACCCACAGTTCCTGGAATGTCACATGTACACCATCCTTCCTGGAAATTGCAGGTGCAAAATTTTACATCTCAACATCTTAGTATCTATTCTGCTAAAACTGTGAAGAGCTAGAAAAGATGATACCTAAAGTTGGCTTAACAGGATCAGCAGCTTGTCTGCAATAATCATCCAACAATTTCTCAATAGCCTTCCCTTTTGGAGACATCCTCTCAGTGCCCTCACACGTCCATGCACCCTTAGTGTTATGGCTGCTTGTAGAATCACTTCCCTCCCTCTGACTATTGCTTGTAGCCTCACCACTGCCTTAAAAATTTTGAACACGTTCACAATTTTATTATGAACATGGATAAGAAAATCATTAGTGACTCTATTTAATGGGATTCTTTAAATATTGGAACAAATATGGCGATAATTAGTTTCCAATGTCTAAGTGATTGGTGGCATATGGCAGTGGGGGGAAAAAGGAGAAATGAGATCAGTGGAAAAGATGCAAGCACATGAAAAACGGAGGCTTGATAAGCATGCCACTATACGAAACCTAGATTGCGATTTTTTGCAGTAAAAAATAATGTATTTGGCGAAATAAAAGAAACAAAATATATTTGCAACCACTTTTTTTGTATCCCACTTTTATTTTCTGTTCTATCTCTCTGTAAATCCATGTAAAGTATTTACTCTCAAAATGCATATCAAGATTCCTTGAAACCCTCTTGTTATAACCCGCCACCTACCAATAGCATGTCAGAAAGCAGCACATAGGTCTGGACACATTCGGCATAATTTATCTCAAGTTAATAAAACAATAGCACACTGTAATTAAGATTTCTACAAAAGGCACAGAAAGATCAATTTTTACAGGTGAAGACTGTGCTAACATTAAGAGGCCTCAAGTATAATGTAACAAGTTGGATCAGTTACTAAAACCCTTATAAAAAATTGAGATGAAAGATTTGAAAAGCAGAAAGACAAGCATAGTATGGCTTAAAGTATGGTAAAAAAGTTCATAAATGAGATGCTCATAAACACTCAAATCCTTTAAAATCTTCAGGTAAACGATTTGGAAAGCAGAGCGACATGCAGAACATGGCTGAAGCATGGTAAAATTGGCCGAGCAGCGAAAATCCCACTTACTAAGAAACATCATAACAAAGATTGCATGCGAATAGCAGACCGTTCTTGCTTGATCAACCTCAAATCTAATTTAGGAGCAGCTCGGACCGCCACAGTAGTCATGGCACAAGCAAATGCATCATCCACCACAAACGTAGATGAACCAGACTAAAGCATAAAAAGACAAGGATGCAAAACTTTGCATATGAGAGGAAGGGAAGTCATAAGCTGAGGGTTCTCTTCAGTGAAAAAAACTGTGTTCATCAAATTAGGCATCAGGAAAGCCGCACAATCAAATTGCACAGCAAATCTGGAAATTAAATGAGAATGAAGATTTCATTCCAGTGGAGGAGCCATAGGATCGTCTAGTTAACAATCATATCCAAAAACGTAGATGAGTCCGACTGAAGCATCAAGATACAAGGAGGCGGAACTTTGCATATTAGATAAAGGGAACTCATAGGCTAAGGATTCTATTTAGTAAAGAAACTGCGTTCATCAAATCAGGCATCAGGAAAGCTACACAATTAAACCGAGTGAGAAATCAGGAAATTAAATGAGTTGAAGATGCCATCCAAGAAGCCATAGATCTTCCAGTTGATTAACCTGGAGTATCGCACCATATGCATATTAGCGACAAAACAAGATTTCATCCAACTCACAAAAAATAATTGAAAATAAACCATCGAGAAGCAATTATGAATGAATACTTTATGGCAAGACATTCAAAAACCAGGCTCTAACTTTTGGATAAGAGATCTGACCAGGAGCACCGGCAAGAGACAATCTAAACACAATAAAAGAAGAAAGCAAAAGGAAAGACACAATACCTCTGACCCACAATTCGGGTTCCGCGCTTCCTTGGAGAACGCCCTTTCTGAAAATCAATCAGTGCTCTCTCCAACAGAGTCCTCCGAGATTCTCACGTCGGGAAGAGGGGAGAGCAATCTGTACAAGATAGATCAGTATTAATTCAAGAAGAAGACGGATATACGTTTCTTATTCGATACTGGAGTATGAAGATCTCACTTCATAAATATCTTAATAAATGAAATTTGCGTTCAAAGCATGACATAATTTAAGCATAAAAAAACAGGGACACAAAACTTCCATAGCATAGAGGAGAGGAAACCTTAGGCCTAGGAAGTAAAGAAACTGCGTTCATCTAATCGGGCATCGGGCATCGGGCAACAATTAACTGCGGAAAAAGACATGGAAAACAAATAGCCAGACGACATCCACATAAAATGCTTGGGTAAAAGCTTTGTTTCGGAACAACATCAACAATCTAAACACAAAAAAGAAGAAAGCCTAAGGAGACAGCAGAAGAATACCTCTACTTCTCTTGGAGGCTTTGGAAGCGACCGAATCAGTTGTCTCTGTGCTCCGAATAGACGGAACTGAAAAGGTTGCACTTATGAACGGTAAAATTCGACCGAGGTGGAAAAGTAGCCGTTGGAATGCAAAAATAACACCCGAAGAACGCTGAGACTTGGCCGGCCCGCTACACAAACCCATGAAAAAAAAAAGGTTATATATTAATATCTGAGAGTGTTAAATTATAGATTTGTACTTAATAGGCTGGCAAACAAAAAAAGATTTGTACTTTATTGCTCTCATTTGCCAGTCACTCATAGGTGAAAACAATAAATGAACTGCAATTTTTTCTCTGAATAATATAAATATTTTCTCTATTGTAAAAATAAACATTTTTATCTAAACAATAACATTGTCAAGACAGATTCTAAAGTATATCATTTAATTAAAAATCATATTAAAATAAATTTTATTTACTAATTTTTCCCTCCCCATGCTAAATTCTTACTTTATCTTTGCAAAAATTTTATCAAAAAAAAAGTTGCAGAGCAAGAAAAAATATTTTATTTTATAATCATGTGAGCGTGCTTAAATGGTGTCTTCTTTTTTTGTCAATATGTATATTTAAAGGATTAATAAATAAGTTTAAATAAACAAAAGTAAAAATTATTGCAATAATAATAATTTAGAAATAAAAAAGTAATTAACTTTATAATATGGTCAAGGTTAATCAATTTAATAATATAAAATTTTGTAAATATAAATTAAATTTTCTTGATAAATAGAAGTGTTCAGATGATTTTTAAGTAATATTTCTGTTAACAAGAAACTTTTTTGTTAAAATAAAATGTCAAGTACAATTTAACTGGCAACAATGTAATACTTTTTTCAATGGATGTTTATATAAATTATTAAAATAAATAAAAAATTTCTTTGGCATTAGTTAACCAGAAGAAATGCTACTTAAAAAAAAAGGAAAATGGTAAAATAAACGGTCAAAATAGAAAAATTCCATACAAAAACCCGTTTACAAAAAATGTTTGTCAAAACCTATATTAATGTTGTCATAAGTCCCTATTTGTAATTTTTTTATTTTAAAAGTTTCTTTTTGCCATTTTTCCAGAAAATATTACAGGATATTAGTGTGCTAAATAAAAATTTGTTTATAATAATGTGAGTGTGCTCCAATGATGTTTTTTTTTGTCAACATATATATATTTAAAGGATTAATAAAGAAGTAAGTTTAAATAATCATGTGAGTGTGCTTGAATGATGTCTTTTTTGGTCAATATATATATTTAAAGGATTAATAAATAGGTAAGTTTAAATGAACAAAAATAAAAACCATTGCAGTAATAATGATTTAGAAATATAAAATTAATTAACTTTATAATATGGTCAAGGTTAATCAATTTAATAATATAAAAAATTTATAAATATAAATTAATTTTTTTTTTATAAATAAAAGTGTTTAGATGACTTTTAGGTAATATTTCTGTTAATAAGAAACATTTTGTGAAAATAAAATGACAATAGTATTCATCCAGTCCTAAACATAAGATTCCTTTTGTAATGTATAATTTAACTGGCAACAATGTAATATTTTTTAATGGATGTTTATATAGATTTTTAAAATAAATAAAAATTCTGTGGTATTAATTAAATAGAAGAAATGCTACTAAAAAGAATATTACAGGATATTAATGTGCTAAAAATTAATTTAAAATAGTGAGTAATAAAATAAGACATTAATATAGTTCTTGATTCTTTAAATTTGTCTTCATTTTGGTTTTAATCTCTTTAGGTTTCTTTTATTTATAACATTAGTTCTTATAATCTGGTAAAAATCTGGATTATTTCAACGCTTGAAGGATTAAAACCTATAATTTGAAACTTGAAAAACCAAAACTAAAATGAGAATAAACTCAAAAGACCAAAGATTATATTAATCCTAAGAAAAACTAATAAAAACCAAAAAAATTTAAATTAAAAAAGAAAAAGAAAAAAAAAAGGAGGTGCGTGGCTCTTCCCCAAAAGCTGTCGTTTGGGGATGAACATTCCCCGCTTGATATTTTACAAATTCTCTTTCTTGTTTTTTTTTTTTGGGCCCTGAACAAATTCTCTTATTTAAAGTTAACCAGTGTTATGCAAACTTTAGTTTATTTTATTAAAAAATATAAAAGATGCATCATTCATCATCATTCTTAAATTCATGAATTTAAATTATACTATTTCGATGGCAAAAGAAAAATACACTATTTCATTTTCGTAGAAAAACCACTTGTAATCTACATTATCCATGAGTCATTCTCTACATTTGTATCTCCCAACAAGCTGTTGAAATAAAATCTATGGAAGGTTGAGACTAAGCCAACCTTTGTTGTCTCGCAAAGTTTCTCTGTTGGTAAGAAAACCTTTCAGGTGTTGCACAAACACCTTTCCACAAATTAACACAAGGATCAGAACCAGAACAAATGCTCCTACAATCTCCACTCATATTCAAGTAACGACAAGCTCTTTGTTTGGCCCTAGTTGACTCTGTCAGATTCATATAGCTAGGTCTATGAAAAGTCTTTTCCTCCCTCGTTTCCTCCGCAAGAGTATTGCTGCTAAATGGTACACAATGTGATATGGATGTGTATGAAGTTGATGATTCAGGGCTATCATCAAAAGTGCAGCTTTCAGAACTCGAGGTTGAAGATGATGATGATGATGTCAGAGTCGATTGGCTTGTTGTAAGAGACCTACTGGAAATAATTTCGGTCACACCATTCCTTCTTGCTTTGATCAACCCTTGTTCTTGAACAAGATCATTGCTTTTCCTGGACAATGGAGTGATAATGTCAGTTGAGTCATAATAGTTACCACCGTCCATCAACCTGCTTTCCCATGGCTTCACTGTCATCCATTGCTCTAACAAGCTCTTGTTCACTGTCTTTGTGCCTCTTGCTTTTGGACTTCCACCCACTCGTGCCTGTTCAAATTAAAGAAAATTAGAACGAAGTTTAAGATTTTTGTTGCAAATGTTGTCTCTTACTTGAGGATTTGATTACGCCTGAGTCTGAGACTGATCTTTACCTGAGCAGAAAGAGAATAAGCCATTGCTCTCTCCCTTTTGATGACCGCCTCTTGCTTCATTTGTATCTTTGCTTTAACTTCATCGACAGTTCCTGGAATGTCACACCATCCTTCCTGGAAATTTCAGGGACAGAATTTACATGTTAAATAGACCTTAGTATCTGCTAAACTGTGAAGAGCTTGAAATTATGATACCTCAGCCTGCTTAACAGGATCTTCAGCTTGCCTGCGGTAATCATCTAATAATTTCTGAACAGCCTTCCCTTCTGGAGACATCCTTACATTCATTGCCCTCACACGTGCCTGAACTTTAACCAGAGCATGCATGCACCTTAGTGTTATAGCTGCTTGCTTTCTCACTCGCCTTCCTCTGAATATTGCTTGCAGCCTCACCACTGCCTTCAATGCCCTCAAAGCTCGTCTAGCCTACATCATGTATTGTGAACACGTTTAGCAGAAGTTTATAGCCAACAAGGATATGGAAAAACATTAGTGATTTATTTGATGTGATTCATCAATCATTTGAACTATGGTGATAAATGGTTTCCAATGAATAACTAGCTTCTGGCATATGGCAGTTGGAGGGGAAAAAAAGAAAATGAAACGAAAGAAACAAGTAATGTGTTTAGTGAATCTATCTGACGTGATTCTGCAATCACAATAATGTATTTATTAAAAAAAACTATGGCACACTACAATTATTACTATTTCTACAACAGCCACACACAAAATTTAAAAAAAAAAGAAAGAAGTTTTTACAGGTGAAGACTGTGTTAAGATTAAGAGGTCTTAATTATAATGAACTTTAGTTAGATCAGCTACTAAAATGTTCATACGTGAGACACTATAAACACTCATCCTTGAAAAGTTGAGGGAAAGGAATTGAAAAGAGAGCAGAGCAACAAGCATAGTCTGGCTAAAGTATGGTAAAACATCCCACTTACTAAGAAACCTCGAAACACAGATTGAATCCGAATGGCAGACCATTCCTGCTTGATTAGCATGAAATCTTTAGGAGCAGCTCGGACTGCCACAGTAGCCATGGCAGAAGCAAGCGTATCATCCACCGCAAACGTAGATGAATCAGACTTCTCTGAAGCAGCTTCGCGCTTCTTCTGATGCTTTTCGTGGAGGACCCAAATCCAAAACCTTCTGAAGAGCTTCTCCACAGCCTCCACTTCTTCTTACTCTTATCCCCAACCTTCCCTTTTAAAATCCAAATCCAAAAGCAGAGCAGTTATAAAAACACACTCTGAAGTAACAAGCTGACAGAACATGAAGAAAGTAGCTAAGGGACTTACAGGGTCATTGGAGGAGGGCTTTTTATGAGAAATGAGGGATTTCAACCATCTTCCGAAAGCACCCATTTGGTAAAGATTATCTTTGAGCAGGACAGAGAAGATCAGATAATTCAAGTCCTGAAAATGTGATGTGAATGTAGACGGGCTACAGAGGTTACGAGTTTTCCTGGGGTTTCTGAATTCAGAGCGAAGGGCTGTCTCTACTTATTAAGTAAGGCGAGCATGAGACAAAGCTGAGAGACGAGAGCGTCTTAAATTTGTTTGAAATTTGAAATTAAATTGTCCCTTTGTTTTTTTTTGCAGAAAAGCGGGTCGATAAACCGTAACGGATATCTGAGAGCGAGGTCTTTTCCTCACGCTCCCTCCGATTTGACAATGCGAATGTCGACGTCACTAGCCGGTTAATACGGGCTGGGCTCGCGGGCCCAGCCCGCCAGCCCGCCCAAAAAAGGCGGGCTTGGGTTGATGTTTCCCATTGTTCCCAGCCGTCTGGTGCGGGTTACTTAGCCCGCACCGCTTTTGGCCTGCTCCGCCGCGGGCTAGCCCGCCAGCCCGTTTTTTTTTTTTTTTTTTACTTTTTCTGATTTTTAATACATTATATAATATAGTTAGATGATTTTGACCATTAATTTCATATGGACATTACCTCATCTATATCATTATATATATAATTAATTAAGCACTTCTATATATGTATGGTTATATCATATGAAGAGCACTATCCATCTCTTTATTTTTATATCTATTTGTCGTTAGTATGCACGGCTTCATAAGATTAGATAAATATGTGATTTTCATATAGTCATACATACACACACATAAAATATTTACTTAATTAATTTGGATAAGAAAACTAGTTAAATTAATTATTTATAAAAATATATATGTTAGTTTTTCTTAAATTTCTTCTAATATTATAAATTAATTCTCTTTTTTTTTATTAGAATCCATTACTCAAGTTTAAAACTCGGAGCCTAATTTCAACATTTCAAATTAGGCTTAACTCATACTAATATAATAAATTTTAAAAAAAAAAATTTAGGCGGGCTGGCGGGCTGGCCCGCCACCCGCCTTAGCGGGCTCGGGCTGGCAAAATGCCAGCCCGCCAAGGTGCGGGCTACTTCAGCCCGCACCGCATTTGGCCCGCATCGCGGCGGGCTGGCCCGTATCCGCACCGCCAGCCCGCTTCCCAGGTCAGGATGCGCCCCTCCCCCACCCGGACGACGTCGTTTCTCTTGGAGCTATTTATTCACCGAGGCCCAGCCCAACAATAGGTTTTCTTATTTATTGTGGGCTTAGATTCTTTTTTGCAAGTTTCACATTGTGGCCCAAAATAGTTCGTACCTTGGTTCCAAATAGCAACTCATTGATCGGCTGCTCAGAAGCTTGGGCCCTATATATTTGTGTGTGTGTGTGTGTGTGTCTCTGTGTGCGCGCACATTATTGGAGGTGTTGTAAATTATCATATGATGCAAAGACCCATTTTTTGTTTATAAGAGCCTTTTATTATTTATTTCTTTATTTTTTTCCCATTGTTTTGACCCACTAGAATTATGTTCATTCAAAGTGACTAGGGTATTTGCCTTTGGAATATCATAAAATAACAGTAGTTTTTCTGTAATATTGATAAAATTTAGACAATTTTTGTTATACAACACGGTATGATTTATGTTTTAAATGGGAAACTTATAATTTTATAAACAACTTTGGAGCTCAGTATAATATGTGTGCGAGAGAGATTGGAAATTCAACTTTTTTTTTAATCATAAACATGCTTGTTGTGTGTATTACAAGAATGAAACCCAAAAAGAACCATGGAAATCATTAATTATAATGAGTGTGAACAAATGATAGAAAGAATCTGCCGACAAAAATGAAAATCTTATGAATATTTTATTTATAACATCGATGATATCTGCTTTCAACAAATAATACAATAAATAAATAAATAAAATAAAAGAGAATTAACTGATGTGTGCGTATAGGAGTAGCCCCGCCCCCCAAAAAAAAAAAAAAAAAAAACAGACGCCGAGGGCTCTTTACACGTATATCCAAATAGATACAATAATAATAGCACATTTATATATACTATTTTGTTTTGTGCATGCATCTAGGCCTAATTTGCAGGAACACGTAGCCTTGGAGCGGGATGTTCCATACGCACAATCTGATCAGGTGACGAAGATAAATGGAGTTTTGGGGCGACACTTGCAGGAGAAGGTATAGGTATGGAAGCTTTTCTGCATACTTTTCCATGGCTAACGTTGACTCTAGCTGATATATGTAGGTTTTCAAATTCTGCAACTGGTGGCACTTTTATAGATATAGGGTACTGATGTTGATGACGATGATGGTCTCTTCCATAACCATTAATTCTTGGACCAACACAAGCTGTCCTTTTGCTTGACACTACTAATAATGGCTTCTTCTCTTTCACCTGTGAAGAAGATTCCACAATGATGGCTTCTTCCCTTTGATGACTGCCATTAACATTATTATCATCAACTCTGCAATCACCCTGTAATTCCTCGTCTACAACTGGTTTTGATGGAGGCACATCATCATCCACTGCATACGTCTGCATTCAGACAATAACAGTAGCATTGAAATATGATTCAAATTTGATGCAAACTATATATGAGCAACCTTGTGTAGTTTGTTCAGGACAATATTGTAGTATAATTTGCTACCTTCACATTTGTGAAGTCCACCTTATGCTTTTTCAAGAAGTTAATGAATTCCTGAAAATGCTTCTCCGTTGGGCAATAATGACCACTATAGGGCCATATAGCCTGCATAAATATGAACATCAGCATCAGTACTATGAAGTGATATTAAAAAGTGAAGAAGAACGTCGTATGAGTCCCACAAGGTCAAGGAACTCTCCCTCCTCTAATAGATTAGTCTTTTGAGATTAAACTCTAAATTCTCTGGACTTATGTTCATAATAAACGTGAGAGTTTGATAATATTCAGTTATTTACGAAAGGCTTCTCCCTGGTAAGAGGTCAGTATGGTGTCATTTATCAGTCAAAGGGCTATCTTCCTAATAAGCTAGTCTTTGGCGATTAGACTCTACTTTTGAATTTGTGTTCATGATAAAAATTTAAAAAAAAAAAAAACTCATGTGTTACGCACATGAAGGACTCCATGGGAAGCAACCAGTCTACCAGAAGCAATGGTGGCACCACCAGCAAGAAAACTGGAGTGATGAAAAAAGCCTTTCTTCTTCTCAGCAATGTACAACGTTCTGGAAGTGCTGAGTACAAATATCCACTTTGATCCCTCAGGTGTGTGTACAGGAACATTGCTTTTCCTGTACACAAGCTTACCTTTTCTTATTATCACTTCATATGCTCTCCTCTCTTCCTGCGATATATATCCACATACACACCACTTATATCAAACTTCTCACTTGAACTTAATTAAACTAAATATACCCCAAAAATGTTCATGCTAACTTAATTGAGTAGTAGCAAACTCCTTACAGGTTTGCAGTAGTGAATGCACTGTCTTTGTAATTCACTTCTTGGGCACTTCTCCAGGTCCAAATCTTTGCCATCTCCATCATCCAACCTTCAAATCATTGTAATGCAACAAGAAATTAGAAAATCAATTACAGTGATGCAGAAATATCTCTATATGGTTGCTAAAACTTGTGATTATTCTAATTAACGATTGATATTTACCAGTGAAAAAATGGTTGAGCACTTTGGCTACGAACCCAAACATTGTAGTAGAACTGCAGGTTGTGTCCATAACGATGATGGGTGTCTATCTGGGAAAATAGTTTTTTTTTAAAAAAACACAGAAGTTAAGAAACTTGAAACTTTGCATTGTCATGTATACGTGAAATTTTTGGTAAATCATACTCTTAATTAAAAATTACTGTAAATTCTTAATTTAGCTAACATGTTTTCTCAATTTCGTCCTGATGTGTTTGTAAAATTTTTTGAAAAATCCGTGCACTCAGGGACTGATTGCTCTAGCTGCTTAGTTGTTATTTGAGAAATGAAGAATCATATGGTTCGATAATAACAAATTAGAAATGTTTTGATGACTTTACAGAAATTAACATTCTACAAGACTCTTTAATAAAATTTAGTCTTTATAGTGCCATAAAGCCTTTCGAGACACTAGCATGGCTATTTCAGCCACAACAGTATAAATATCCTATTATATGTGAAAGATCAACAATTCAGTCGATTTCATGAGAATTTAACAAGTGAAAGAACTAAATTGATTTCTTTCAAGTAATCGGTTTTAGAAGTATATTTGTCATATATATTTTGAGAATGAAAATTTGTAATTCATTGTCCATCTGTTTGAAATATCCTAGCTTTGATCAATAAGATCGATGAAGCCGATGAGTTCAAAAAATTTTCTGTACTAAAATTATTGTAATTTATTTTAAAATATAATTTTTAAATTGTTATATTTTATATATAAATGAACGGAAGAAAAATACTTGTATAGTTAATCTTAATTTATAAGAAAACAGGTTCAGTGAAATGAAATCTAAAATTTAAAAGAAAAAATAGTAGAAGAAGCCAAAAAAAAAAGACACCAGTTTCAGGTTAAGGCATGTGAACTTACAACTTCAAGCCAGTGTCTCAGAGCTAACTTCTGGCCCTTGTCATCCTTGGACAAACCTTTTCCCACCTACCAACACACCATTAAAAAGGTTATTAATCGATTGCTCCTTCGTCTTTATATAATTATTGGAGTAAAAATACTGTAATTATATATAAGATCTTTAGTCAACTTGAAAAGGTGAAATGTTAGAAGTCAACAATATATATGCCCTTTTAAGAAATGATATTCAAGTTTTAAGGAAAAACAAAGACATCAACAAGCTGATCAATCAATTAATCAATATAATACACATTTAAAGTGAAGCAAACATTATTATTATTAACGTGAAAAGGGTCATCAACTTTTGTCGCTCCGAAAGGTTTCATACCTTTGCAGCCATTCTACCTATTCGTGCCCACTTACAAACTGCTGATTTTGATTTCTCACTTCGTGATTCATTATTAGTCCTTCCCCATCTATCCCCACCTGATGAGTATAAAGCTTTCCACCTGCACGTTTATGTACATTTCAAAATATCAACCCTCAGATTCATGCTTCTTACTGGCTAACTTGTACGTAATCTATTCAAAACTTGAGCTGTTAAAACTTTTTACAGCCGTCTTTGTAGTATGTTAATTATAATTAAGTCCGAAGGGAAACCCTAGACTAATCAAACGAACATTTTAATTTGTATGATCTTCATTTTTTTTTTTTTTGGTGTGGGACAAGTATGATCTTCTTAAAGGGTGTTTTGTTTTGGATATCGTTTTCTTATATATATCAGTTGATCAAGAAAAGTAAGGCCCGATGAAGGGTGAAAGTAATGTGATATCTTGTCTGTTATGAGGTATCTGCAGCATATCGATCGCAGCAGAAATAAGTCTACATCAACTTACCCCTCCAAACCACAATCTTGTGAAGCCAGAAATTTGAGCAAGAGTAGTGCAATTTGGAGCCTCTCAGTTTTCACCTTCTTCTTTCTCTCTTCACATTTAGATTCTTCTCTTGGATTCTTCTCATCGAACCTTTCAAGCTTAAAGCTACTACTTGAAATCCTCAACGCCATCTCTCCTTCCTCCTCGCTCTGGTCTATGCCCGCAATTCTTAGAGCTGGCATTTCCATTCCTCTGCAAAATCAACAAACACTTGAAAAATAAATTCACGTACGAGACATGCTGATACATTAATGTCATAAATTTAAGAGAAGGGCTATACATATACCTAAAAGTGAAAAAGTTGGGTTCTTTATGTTTTGATCTCGGTGTAGAGCAGAAACCTGAGTTTTGTGCGTTGAATAGGGACTTGGCTCCTCTTTTATAGTGAACAAGTTTGGAGGACATGAAAAGCGTCAATATGTTCAAAATTTAGAATCTTTCAAACACGTAGTCGAGGAGAAGGAAATTGCTTTTTGGAAGAAATAGGGTTAAGGGTGGTTTGAACGAAGAAAGTTAGAAAAGGGAAATGTTTGCGTGAGTCTCATCAAGAAATTACAGGTTGATATATGCTTTGACCTGTAAGAGAGTTTGGGAATGCGCGCAGAGAATTCACGAGAGGAGTTTGAATTGAAGAGTTCAGAACTTTTATATATGATTTTGCAACATCTTGGTTACCATCATAAAGTGTGATAATTTCCAAACAATTGTCAAGGTTGTAGCGAAAGACAAATAAAAAAAAGAAAAAGTCAAACTGAAGAATGAGATGCGACAGAGATTGAGATGTTTATGACTTTATGCGAGCAGTGAGAGATAGAGAGCTTTGATGATTCTTGCATTATATGAAGACCAGATACAAATAATGAAGGGGTCAATGAGTTTAGAGTTTTCTTTTGATCAATATGAAGAGTGAACTAATATTTTATTAGCTTGTGAAATGGGTTTGATTTTTCAATTTAATCTCACATTTTCTAACATTAAAAGAGTTTTTAAATACCATTATCATGAATTATTTTAACTTGATTTTTAATTAGGTTGCATCATGATTAGGCGCTTTTAAGGAGCATAAAAATATTAATTTAAATTATTTTCACCAAAGAATTATTAAGATTATATTATCAAACTTTAGATTAAAATCAATTTACATTTAATATACTAAAAATAATATAATGATAAATTAATTATCAATTCACTCAATTTGCTTAAAGTGTATCCTCATATCAAAACTTTAATGGTCAACATGGCCTTATAATAACCTAGCGGTATGAAGACTCTTCTATATATTATTGAAAAAATATGAAAACTCTTCTATAAATAAGAGTTTGCGGGATTGATTTTATTTATAATCTCACGTCTGATTTTAATTATAATCTCATGTCATTAACGCCTGTTGCTCTAATTTAAAAAATAATAAAACCTTAATTGAAAACTATTATGTTTGGAATGGACTGTGCCTTCCATTTTAGTTATAAGTCACGACTTACCTTGCATATATTAAGAAAATTAAAATTAGCTAATAAGAATATATAAACTCAAGGCAATATCAGATTGACCAACAGCCCATTGCCCAATACTTGTGCAGCCTGAGCCAGTCTGATGTTCAAGACCAGGTTTTGGTTCCATCGGGAAGAAATTATTAAATCTGTAACAAAATAAAATTATTTTCCTTATTTGCCTCTAATAAAAGGGTTTCTTCCCTCCACGGTAATAAATTGCTTTCATTTTTTAACAAATTTAATTAGTGAAGAGTATTTAAGGGAAAAAAGCTATTTAATTAACAGTACAAATACTTCAGAAAAAATGACTTATATTTTAAGAGAGAGTTAGAGGGAGTCTAACAGCCAATGGCCTTATAGTCTAGCAGTCTATAAATGAGAAGTCAAAAGTTTAGTTTTGCTTATAATCACAAGCCAATAGTATATATATCTCTAATTACTTTTAAAAAAAAAAAACGAGGGAAGTCTAACTGGGTAACCCATTGGTTGGTGTTCGTATCTTGTGGACTCAACACAAAGGGTTGATTCAATATATAGCAAATGAGAAACGAACAAATTAGAAGACAATATGACGACAACGTTGAATTTCTATTGTTTGAGAAAATCACATTCCAAAAACACATGCTGTTTCTTCTGACCCTGGCATGCTGCAACGCATCACATTCAATGTTCAATCAGTGTTGGCCTCAGCTAAGAAAATTTCCATTCCTTTTCTTCTATGTTCGTAAAGGCCCCACTTTAATATGATATTTTCTTTTTCAATTTGAGTTCCAAACTTTTTTCCACAAGTTCAAATGTGAAGCACATTTCAAAAGGTGAATATGTGTGTGTGGAAAAAACTCCTTATATCGACTACGTCAAACTCTCTAATTACATATGATATGACTATGTCTCCTCTTTTATTTCATGTAAATTTATAATTAAATGCTATTAAATATTAATATTTCAAAAATAGGAAGCATAATTATGTATTATTGGAGAACTTGACCTAAGAAATATAAGAAATCTGATGTAAGTATTATCCATTATAAATTATTGAAGGTCTTGTAAATCTCAAATGCTTATCATCACTATGCCGGAAATTTTTTTTTTTTAAAAAAAAGATGATGGTTGTTTGAGAATAATTAGTTGATCTATATATTGTCATAAGAGTAGGCTAAAAAAAAAAAAATTGTCAACTAAGAAACCTCTGGATTCGGTGCTGGGTTTGGTGATGGTCTTAAAAAACAAAAATGTCAACTAAGAAACCTCTGGATTCGGTGCTGGGTTTCGTGACAGTTTAATTGATAAATTCAAGCTGATCCTTAATATAAAATTTTAATTTACTTTATCACATGTATTTATTCATTTTGCCTAACTCTTGTGGTTATTAATCATGTTAAGGGTTTCTATTAAAAATAGTTTCAATGCATATAATTAAAAAAAGTATTTTGGAAAAAAAATAATACTCATTTATTATAAATAATTAACTTAAATATTTTTATTATTATTCAGAAGTTAGTTGTTTAGTTTTTATATTAAGAGATAGTAGTGTTTGCTAATTCATAAACTAAAATGCAATTTCGTGATGCAAAGCCAAACGGAGGAGGGTCAACGTGACGTACGTGAAAAGCTTCAAGCATTTAGGAATTAATCAATTGATTTTCCAATTTTGACAACTGAAGCTTCAGTGTTTACAACTAAACTTACGATATTTACAAAGCTTTTACAATTTATAATACATTCGCGACTGCATATTATTTTTATCTTTTACAATTGAGTTTTCGGAAACCTTACAACATATTCAAAACTGATCTACCAATTTTTACAACTTACATATTTTGAAATGAATATATTTCCCCTCTTTATAAGACATTTTTATCCATTTCCATTTTTATTTTTAACCTTAGTCCTTCTTCCTTGTTCCATAAATTTACGATCTTTCAATGTCATTTTTTTCCTGATCAGGTGATTCTTTTGCATCATTTTCCCTAGAAAATATTGTAATGATATTATAAACAACTAAGATGACAAAACCATTCTATATCTAATAGTCACTTAACTAACAATCCATATTAAAACAGAGTTCGTCTCCAATTGAGGGTAGTTTTCTCAAAGTAGTTTTCCAACTTCATGTGAACTTGAACTTAAAATCTTATATTTTAACAATAATATGCTCTTTCATAAATAAAATCAAGGTTTCTTGGAGAAGGAGGAATATTATAATTAAGTAATATTATATTGTTATGTTCCAATTTCGGATGGGCCAATATTGTTTTGATGGTGAATCCTAATACATACACGCACACAGACACACTTATTTGTATTTATATGTTGCTTGAAGCAGCACAATAACACACATCTGATTCATGGTGCAAGGGATTGACAAAAACCTTTGAATCTTCATCCATGTAAATAATATAATATATTAATTGAACAAATATTTGCACGACTCTTGCATTCAAATAAGTGATATTATTCACCCACCCGCCAAATAATTAATCTCAATCAGGTATTCAAAAATTAGTCTCGATCAATCATATAACAATTTACGCTACCCCATTTGTATTCAATTAGAAATAATGTATTATATAATATGCCTTATTTAATTATTCTATCTGTCTTCCTGTTAGCTCAGAGGGACATTCCAAAGGAAAATGAAGAAAAGAATATTGTTCAGTTTCTCCAACAAAATAGCACAGTAATTTTGATGAAAGGTTGATTATCCACGTCAAAATAAGAGGGATTAATAATTGAAACTAAATTGCTTAATTATGACCTCCAACAATTTGGTATATAATTATGATCTGATTAGGACATGGCCTAGATAAGTTTCAATTAATTTGTCTCTCTGGTTCAATTAAAGACTAATGATTACATCAAAATGTAGTTTTCATTTCTCCAAAAAATTAGCATTGTTAGGATTAGGACCTGGCTTGAGTTACCTAAATTACCCATAGTAAGCCACGACATATATACAAGCATGCATGCGCACTTCCTCCGGTCTTTATTATAAGGTATTTTGGACTACTTCATCTTCAATTGGACGAATTAAGGACAAATGATTAAATCATTAATTTTGTTTGAAAATGAAATATATTCTTGATTTTACTTACATTCAAATAGAGAATTTTTATATTTGTATAACATTCTCCCCATAGTTAATCACTTCAAATATGGGTGATATTGAAAAAAAAAAAACCTAATTAATATTTATAAGAGTTAAAGTGCATCTAGCAGCTAAAATATTTTTTCCAATAGCATTTAATATCTTAAAATAATTTATTAAAATATTAAGATTGTTTAGATTAGATATAGATCATCCAAAGGAGATGAGCTTTGGGTGTTCATTTCTCACATGAGCAATGAGCACTCAAACTAAATCCAAACTCACGAGATCTTGCAAGCATGAAAAATTAGGATAATATACTTTTGTTTTAAGTATTTTTAGTTTTTCAATACAAATATAACACTATAGGATGTTTTTCATGAGTAGAAACTATTCTTTGACGGTCAAACTATGTACTAGTAATATTTTTACCCAATTATTTTTCCGTTTTTACTTTTGTTGTATATTTGCTGCTTGTTTTTTTTTTTTTTTGCCTGCGGCTGGTCGGAATTATTGGTCTGTGAAGAGCCCAAGAAATTTGGGGCCCTTATTCGGAGCTAAGTCTACTGGCCCATACCGTACAAAACTAGAAGGTAGCCCAGGTAAT